ACGACTGGCTGGGCCTGGGGCTTCCCGGCCTCCAGCACTGTGGGGACACGGACTGAACATCCGCTAAGAAAAAAGAAGAAGAAGAAGAGGAGGAGGAGCTCCCGGCTCCCCAACACCGTCCTTCCCTTCCTCCCCACCCTCCCTGTCTACCGGCGCTATTCCAGGGTCAGAGCAGTGGACGAAGCCCACCAGGTCTCACCCCCAGAGGCTCACCGGCACTAGGCACTACACCAGCAAGCTCCAGGGACAATGGTGACAAGGGGCAGTGCAGACTGAGGAGAACTGGGTGGGGGAGGCTCCCGAGAGGCAAGTGGCACCTGCACAGGGCCTGGGGGGGGGTGGAGGTGCACCTGACAGTGCAGCTGGGGGCACAGCCAGTGCAAAGGCCCTGAGGCTGGGACAGGCCTAGGAAGGAGGCGCTTCTGAGGACCAGAGTGGATGCCAGGGTGGTGGGGAATCAGACGAGGGCCAGACAGGGAGGACAGGTCCATGATGGGCAGGGCCAGGCCCACACCCGCAGAGGAGCCACGGAGACAGGCGGGCAGGGGTGCCGGGACAAGCATCAGCAGAGTTTTAAAGCAAGGGCTCGGGGTTCAGAGGAGATTCCCAGGACTCTGAGCTTGGGACGGCGCTTACCTTGGAAGCCCCCGAAGGCTCCTCCAGCTGCCCTTTGGATAGGAGCAGGGAACCGGGTCTTTGCAACTGGACGACGACACACACCCCGACTTGGCTCCTCCCAGCATCCTCCCCTCCTGCAGGGGCTCTTCCAGGCAGCCGGGGGCCTCACCCAGCAGGACCCACCTCTGCCCCAGCACAGCACAGGGTCCCCCAAATGTGCCAGACTCAGGCACTGGCAGGGCTCAGGGAATGTTCTGGGCCCACCCTGTTCCCGGTCACTCCTCACCCCCACCAAGCTCCTGCGCACTCCTGCATCCGGGCCTTTGCACAGCTGGGCCCACCGCCTGGGGCCCTCTTCCCTGACATCCTTGTGGCTCCCTGCCCAGACCTAGCTCAACTGTCACCCTCCCCAGGGCAATCCTGGACCTTCTCTGTACTGCACCCTGCTGGGCTCCCTGCCCGCCCCTGCTTTGCTCCCAGGACCTCCAGGTGAACTCCACTCACTCGCCATCTTGTCCTCAGCCTGCCCCTCCCTCTCCAGGCGGACAGGGACTTGTGTTACCCTTGGCCCTGGAGACTCAGGAGGAAAGGAGCCAAGGCCCTGCCCCTGGGCTACAGTGAGCTGCCACAGTCCTCCCCAGGACAGTCTCCGAGGGGTGTCTCGGGGTGTCTGGGGATTACAGGTCAGGTGGCCCCAGCTGGCGAGGCCAGGGACCCTCTCATGCAACAGGGTCTCAGGGCGAGGCCACTCTGCAGTGGGGCCAGAGACTGAGTGACTCTCCTGCTGCTCTCCCAGGTGTGGCATTTCCTAGGGTCCTCACTGCTTTGCAGTCAAACACCCACCCACCCACCCCCCACTCCATCCCCAGTGCCACAGTGTTGAGAGGTGGGACCTTTTAGAAGGGCGAGGTCATGAGGGTTCTGTCCTTGTGGAGGGATCAATGTCACTATGAAAGGAGTAGGTTTGTTATAAAAGCAGGTTTGGGCCAGGCACAGTGGCGCACGCCTGTAATCCCAGCAACTCGGGAGGCTGGGGCAGGAGGATGGAAAGTTGGAGGTTAGCTCTGGCAACTTAGCGGACCCTGTCTCAAAATAAAACAATAAAAGGGCTAGGAATGTGGCTTGGGGAAGAGAACTTGCCTAGCACCCAAGCCTCCAAAAAAATAGTTTGTCCCTGCTGCCCGCCCATACGAACATCCTCTGGGCTGCTCTCTTGCCCTTTGGCTTTCACCCAGAATAACTCAGCAAAGGCCCCGCCAGTTGCACCTCTGGATCTTGGACTTCCCAGCCTCCAGAGAGGTGAGCAATCAACTTCTATTGTTCATACATTACCCAGCCTCCAGCACTCTGTTATAGCAACACAAAATGGGGTAAGAGGAACGTGCCCAGGGCTCGCTGTTACCTTATTCTCTATATTTCTGTAGTTTGAACTTTTCCATAATCATAAAAGGTCTTCACATTTCTCTTGGTCCTCCTGGGGTCCTTATTGCTTTGCAGTCAAACATCCTCCCAGTGGCCTCAAGGCACCTGGTGGCATGACCTGTCCACCCTTCACCTCACTTCCTCCCCCTCCCGCCTGCTCTCTCTTGCTTAGCAGCAAACAGTGGCTGCCTCAGGGCCTTGGTTTGTGCCTAGAATCCTCTGCCACAGCCCCATGGCGCCACCTTCTGAGCCTTCACTCAGAGGCCCTCCTGGCCCTACCCAGTGTCTATCACTGTGACTGAGTCTGTTTGTTTGTTTGTTTGTTTTTTCTGGTCCTGGGGGTGGAACACAGGGCCTCAAGGGCACTAGACAAGTGCTTTGCACCTGAGCCAGGTCCCCAGCCCTTTCTATTATCCATTTTGAGTCAGGGTCTCTAAGTCGCCCAGGCTGGACTTGAACTTGCAAACCCCCTGCCTCAGTCTCCCAAGCTGCTGGGATTAAGACGCACACTACGGTACACTGCGGCTGTTATAAAATGTGTCTGCAAATTCTCTGATGGTCCTTCCTTCCAAAGGTGGGCTCTCTCCTCCCGAGTCGGGTAGAGGAGGGGATTTACTTCTCATGAACAGCATGTGTCAGGAGCAGGGCTGTGACTTCTGAAGCTGGGGCACAATTTGGACACCTTCTGTCTAGCATGAAGCCTGCCTGGCCCTTGTCACCCAGCACCATGATGTGCAGATGCCCAGGCCACCAGGAGAGGTGTTCCGGCAACACCTCTGAGCTCCTAAGATATCAAATGATTCTGATCCTGGATTTGGAATCTTCCAGTTGAGGTTCCAGACATGACATGGCAGAACTGGGGGAAATGGTGATATTTGAATTCCTGACCCACAGAAGCCATAGGAAATAATAAATAGTCATCAGTGTCTGCATCCCCTAATTCTGGGCAATTTGTTACACAGCAATAGGTGACTGATACAATCATGCCCCATCTTCCCCCCTTCAGATGGTTCATCACGATCTCAAACAGCCACCTTCTGTAACTGGTCTCCAGGACTCTTTTGTCCATTTCCGGGAGATCAGAGATCACATCTGTCTGTCGACCACGTCAGACAGCTGCCAGCCCAGCACTGACCACTGCTCTGAGGACCATGCTTGTGTCCCACAGATTGGCTCAAGTGCAGCTTGGCCTCTGCCTGTGCAGCTGTGGTGGGTTAGAGGGTGTCCCCACCCAGAGCCTCATAATGTGACCTGACTTAGAAACAGGGTCTTTGCAGATGTAGCTAAAGTAACTGCGAGGTGGGGTCACCCTGGATGATCCCAGTGGCCTCAAGTGCAGGACTAGCGTCCTTATGAGGAGAGAAGGGGACCTGGTGTGGCTCCGTGGGACAAGAGTGCTCGCCTGGCATGTGTGAGGCCCGGTTCAGTCCTGAGAGATGACGACAGCGACAGGAGAAAGAGGACAGGCCAGGGAGAGG